TAATGTCTGAAGTATTTACTGTAATCGATCCAAGTGTCATTAATTAAATACCCAATGAATGTGAGATTATAGCTGACGGATTCTAAGAGATGCAGAAAAGGTGTTTGGTGAAATGTCAGTTGCGTGGACAGCCACTATTTCGTGTGGTTCTATTGAGACTGAAGATTTCGTTGATTCCTGATCGTGTTATTGTGGAATGTCAATGGAAATTACATATGGCGACTTGGTCTACCTCTACCTCGGATATAAATTGCAATGTACAGGCTGGCAGCAGCAACCTGTTTATCAAACTAAGGTCGTCAAGGCTTAGAATATTGGCTAGGGGAAGTTGAAGATGAAGATGAAGATCCACGGGGTCATCTTATTCCTTCTCTTCTGTGAATTTCATGGTCAACCATATCCTGATGCATCTCAGGACAGTGACCAAGAAACGAAAACCATAAAGATTGGTCTTATTCTGGACTTGAAATCATGGGTGGGGAAGGTTGTTAACAGCTGCATTACAATGGCAATTTCAGACTTTTACATGCTCAATGGACAGTATAAAACGAGGATTGCTCTTGAAACAAGAGATTTGAGAGGAGAACCGCTGAATTCTTTAGCTGCTGGTGAGTCATTTTATTGCTGCACTTATTTGTTCTCTTATGTATATTCTGAAGGAAGTTGCTAGAAGGTAGACAGAAGTCCTAGGCTTACTGAAAAACTGCCTCGTTTTGGGGAGGTTTAGATTATTCTGACTCAGGATTTCTTATTATTTCTTCATGCAGCTTTTGATCTTCTGGAAAATGCTGAAACGCAGGCGATCATATTCCCAGAAATGTCAAGTGAACAGACCTTCTTGGCGACACTATGTGACAGAGCTAATGTGCTGTTGCTTTCATTTTCTTCAACATCATCATTCAATGAACATCCTTATTTGTTGCAAGTTGCACAAGATGAGACCACTCAATTCAACGGTGTTGCTGCCTTTTTAGGAGCATTCCAATGGAGGACTGTTGTACTTATCTACGAGGACACTGCAGATACCAGACAAATTCTATCTCATCTACACGACGCCTTTCGTGATAATGATGTGGATGCCGTAAATGACATTGCCATTACTCCCA